TTGGTGAGTGAATTAGCATAGGATTGAATGAAACCTGACAAGTAATAAATAAATGCATCAGTTCAAAAGCATGAATGCAAGATGATTTGGTTGAAACTTAAGAGGGTTCATGGGTTATTCGATATGATAAGTGATCTCAGCAAGTATGCAAGTATTGAATTATTCAAAAAATAGAAGTGGGTCCCTCATGTTTGACAATTTGAGGAACCAGATAGCTATGTTTTCACTTTTTGTGTTTCATGTCAGATCTTTGCCCCTGCTCCTTCCAGCTGTAGAGGATGGTATTTTCAGTGATAGCTGGCGTATCCGACAAAGTTCTGTAGAATTGTTGGGTGATCTCTTGTTCAAGGTATATGCTGCTCGTCCTTTTCAAAGTTAGCTTTGTGGAATTTCTTCTTGTTTTTTCCTCGACATGGTCTGTTTCTTCAGGTTGCTGGAACCTCTGGAAAAGCACTTCTTGAGGTGTGGTAGTGATGAATGAAGGAGCAAGTACTGAGGCCAAGGGCGTTGCTATTATTGAGGTTTCTCGGAAGAGAAAAGCATAATGAAGTTCTTGCTGCATATTACATGGTTCGAACTGATGTGAGCTAATTATGGCGCCAGGTAATTGCTGCTGTCAATATAATGGATTGCTTTGTTTGTAATATTTTGCTGCCTTTTGGTTTTGGACATGTAGACTGTAAGTGTGTTTCCTTTCTCTCTCTCTCTCTCTCTCTCTCTCCTCTCTCCTCTCTCTCGTGCAGGCTGATTACATGTGTGGAAGACTATAGTTGCAAATACTCCCAAGACTCTGAAGGAAATAATGCCAGTTTTGATGAATACTTTAATTACTTCTCTTGCATTCATCTCCCCTGAAAGGAGACAGGTCCGCTATTCTTCTTGTAGTGTTTTCTAAGCTATGATAGGGTTTTGTACAGTCCCAAATAATAAATTCAGTTGTCTTTGTGTATTTCAGGTTGCTGGATGATCACTTGTGAGCTTGTTAGAAAGCTTGGGGAAAGAGATTCTACCTTTAATCATTCCCAATTTTATCACGAGGGCTAAAAGACCCTAATGCTAGCAGAAGACAAGTGAGGCTTTTGACCTTTAAATTTTACTTTGTGGATCTTATTTTCTTGTTTGCACTGGGCTTGATGAGAATCTCTGAAGACATGGCTGACAAATAGGTTTCTCTTGTTTTGGCAACATTTGGTTGACTTATTGCAGAAAAAATATATGTTGGCAACATTTTCCTTTTTTCTTTTTTCACTTGTTATTGTTTACATTCTTGGCGTTGTTTTAAATTACTATTTTTATCATGACTGTTTATCTTAATTAATAGCGTAGCATAGGCAATGTAAATTGTAGTAGTGATCTAAGAAGCACATACACACTTCTAAGAGGGTGGCATGTCCTTGTTGACACTGACATGTCAGATCTTTCTAGACCCGAAAATACTTCGGACAATTGGTATACACAAGTGTCCATCACTTAGGCACATATAAAAGACATTATAAGTGTGAACAAAATAACATAGGATACAATGATAAAGAAAACAATTTAGATTTATATCTATTAATCTCTCCTTTTTTAATTTTTGTTTTAGTCCGCAAATCCAATTTTCTCTCCACCAACAGGGAGTATGTATTGGTCTGAGTGAAGTGATGGTCAGTGCTGGTAAGAGTCAGTTGTTGAGTTTCATGGATGAGCTCATTCCTGCCATCCGTACAGCCCTTTGTGATAGGTTTGTTGATCAATTGCTCTGATTTGCTGGTTCACCTAATCTATTCCACTTCTCTCTAATCTTTGGTGTATGCTATATTATGTTTCTTGTATTTCTTTAATAGCATGCCCGAGGTTCGTGAGTTGGCAGGCTTAGCATTCAACACACTTTACAAGGTGCTCTTTCCTAATTTTTTTTAGTCATTTTGATTTTATTTTTAACATGGTACTCTGGAGCAGAAAAATGTATAATAAATTGCCATAATGTAGAGTGCCGGATTGCAAGCAATTGATGAGATTGTCCCAACACTCTTGCATGCTTTGGAGGATGATGAAGCCTCTGATACTGCCCTTGATGGCCTCAAACAAATCTTAAAGTAAGATATTCCACTTCTTAGATTAAATGTTGGACTTCTTGTTGTTTTTAAGCTGTTTTGTGGTCCTTAAATTTCTTTGCATGTTAACTTCAGTGTCAGGACTGCTGCTGTTTTGCCTCATATCTTGCCCAAGCTGGTCCATCCTCCTCTTTCGTATGCATAGAGACCTCCATTTTTGGTAAACTGATACAGTTTTTAATCCTATTTTTTTCTAACACCTTTGGATATGTATCCAGGGCCTTCAATGCACATGCTTTGGGAGCTCTAGCTGAGGTTGCAGGTCCTGGTTTGGACTTCCACCTCAGTACTGTTGTTCAAGCTTTACTCACTGCAATGGATGATGATAACATGGTATGAAACTCTATAATTATAACTTGTTTTGGTAGTACTTGTTTTTGATATCATCTTATATTTCTTGCTTTATTTTAATCCTTTTACTATGGTAATCAATAATTCTCCGGTGCTCTTTGAAAATTTAGGAAGTCCAAAATTTGGCAAAGAAGGCTGCAGAGACTGTTGTCTTAGTCATTGATGAGGAAGGTATAGAACCATTGATATCAGAACTTCTTAAAGGGGTTGGTGATCATCAGGTATGTTTTTGCTGAATTTTTTGGTTAATATTGTTTTCATCCTCTTTGTCCATCTCTCTTTTGTGACTGTTTTTTGGTTGCAGGCTTCAATTAGACGAAGTTCTTCATATCTGCTTGGATACTTCTTCAAAAACAGCAAGTTATATTTGGTTGATGAAAAGCTCCGAATGTGATAACCACCCTGATTGTTTTGCTCAGTGATTCAGATTCAGCTACAGTTGCGGTAATTCCATATAAATAATCTGTGGTTTTCTTTTGCTCCTCTGTGGTGCATGTTGCTTCTTACCATTTGTTCAACAGGTTGCTTGGGAAGCTTTGTCTAGAGTTGTCGGCTCAGTTCCTAAGGAAGTCCTTCCTTCATATATAAAGTTAGTTCGTGATGTAGTTTCTACATCCAGAGATAAAGAGCGTAGGAAAAGGAAGGTTAGTATGGTTTTATTGCAGTATAAATAATCACTCGTAGATGACACTGTGAACCATAATCACTATAATTTCCTTGGGCCTAATTTTTTTTTGGGGCATAGTCAAATTAATCTTTTTCTTGCATGCAGGGAGGGCCAGTTCTTATACCTGGATTATGTCTCCCTAAAGCTCTTCAACCATTGCTTCCTATCTTTCTCCAGGTATGCCTGTTCATCTCATTCGTTCGAGCTCTTATATAATATTCTTGTAGTGGTTGTGGCTTTATTTTCCGATCATAATAAGATGCTTTTGGATAATATATATTTTTTTCACTTTAATGGGGACGACACCAGTGTCATGCATGTTTTGGGTAATAGCCTAGTTTTGGGATGTTAGATGAGATATGGGATTATCAGCTGGGTTATACTTGCTCTTATTTTAAAGTATAATCTGTGGCTATTTGGTGAAATTGAAAATTTGCCATTGATATGGTGTGTTTGCTTGCACACTGCACATTGTTTATTTTTTTGATTCTTGAATGGTGACAAATTGGTCTTGCTTTTGCTGTGCTGTTCTTCTGCTTATACTAGAGCTTGTTATTGCTGATCTGTACTACAGCCTGTGCTGATCTGTTTTGTGCATCATTGCTGACCTGTTTTGTTATGCTCTTGGATTACACAATGGAGTGAGGCAGTGCTGAGAGAGTCTGGTTTTGATGTTCTGCTGCACTACTGGTCTGGTATTGTATTAGGAAAGAAGAAAAAGAAAGTGTCCTGTCTACCTATTTGTTCCATTACATGCTTCAAGTTTGCTAATTCTATCTAGTTGCACTGACAGTTAAGCTTGTTATGGATGAAAAGGTGAAGAGGTCAAAGGGGTATGCTTTTATTCAGTACACTAGTCAAGACGATGCCCTGCTAGCTCTGGAAAGCATGGATCATAAGGTAATAGGCGTATATTTGGTTGACATATTTCCACACGAATGCTTACTTTATCATCATATAATAAAATACTAATTTATGGTCTTGCTTCTGTAGACTAACACCTTGTTTTCAAATAAAATTTGCTTATTGATGGTTAGGGACGGCGTAAAATGGGAATATTGCTGCTATAAAGGTTCTTTCACTTGAATCAAGTCAAGGAGTAAAGGAGTTCTTGACAGAGATTAGAGTGATTTCAGATATAGAGCACCAAAATTTAGTCAAGCTCTATGGCTATTGCGTGGATGAAGATCATAGAATTCTGGTCTACAACTACCTTGAGAATAACAGCCTTGCGTAAACACTTACTAGTAATTCCATCTATTCGTTCTTAGTTTGGTAGTCTTTACACTTATTGGATTGGCAATTTAGTCCCCTGTTACAAGCCATTTTTTTCTTTATCAGCAAAAATAGTTTGTTGATGTAAATTAATTGAGTACTACTTTGTATGTCAAACATACATCAATAAAAATAAAAAATAAAGAAGGCGTAGGAGAAATGCATGAATGTTTAAGAACATGTGTCAAGTAGGTTAGCACATGATCTCAACCAATCAAATGTAAGACCTAGGCTCAAAAAAAAAAAAAAAAGAAATTGGCAAGGCACTAACTACCAGAACTAGTAGGTTCCCTGTGGGGGTTGTCAAACACATACAATAAATTGTTGTGTGCAATACTTTTCAGAAGAAAAAAAAAAGTGTGCAAGCCAGGATTCGATATTAGGGGTTTATAGTGTGAAATAGTTAAGATGAATGCAATAGTAGTGGAAACGAGATTTTGAACTCTGGGTAGCAACTGGGAAATAATATTAAAAAAAACATTAGGTACCACATGAGTGCTGCTAGGCTCGGAGTGGTTGTCCTTGTGAAATCTTAAAATCATGGTTGGAGGCATGTCCTTGAATTGTAATGGATTTTAATCAAATCCCTGTTGGGTTACTTTAACTTCAGCCCTAGAGTTTTTTAGTTACTTTGTAAATGTGATATATATTAGTACATATTGATGCAGTGGGTTGCTATCGGTTGCCAATTCATAATGCATTTGTGATATAGGTTAGGGATGTGCACTTTTTGAAATTGGGAAATTATGCTTACATGAAAAATCAACTAATTTTATTGTCTACTTTTTGGGAATAGTTTTAATATGGACAAATATATGAGTTTGTTTGTTTGTTTAAAGATTTAGATTTTTTGGGATATCCTTTTTTGTTTTCCCTTGCTAAGTGCTTCAGAGGGTGTTGTACAGGTTGTTTGCAGGTTTGAGATCAAACAACACAGGAATATGAGAGAGGGCAAAAAAGCTAATTGGGCTTTGTTTTAAAGTTGTCATTGATCAATAAAGGCTGCTACCAGATCCTCTTTTTTGCTGGTCGCTGATGCTGCTGCTTGCTGGTCTGCTGCAGCTGTTGGTCTGCTGCTGCCGCTGCCCTGTTGGCTGATGCTTGCTGGGCCGCTGCTGCTGCAATGTTGCTGTGACGCGGTTGCTACTGGATGCTGGTCTGCTGCATAAGTTTGTGAGTGATTGTCATGCCGTTTTGCATATCTTTGTTAGTTTCATGCTTTCATTTTGTTATCTGATGTCTCTACTGTGGGTTCACAATTTGGATGTATTTTGGTATTTTAGTGAGTTTACCCTTTTAGGTTTTATACACTGCTTCTAAAAGCAGTATCAGAAGTGTTTTTTTGCTTGCACATCAACTTTAGGTGATTTCCTATCAATGTTATTAGTTTGTAATAGTGGTGCCTGAGGGATGCCTCTTGTAAATCTGTAAATCTTATAAAAATATATAAATTATTTTCAATTATTTTTGTTGGTAAATGTGTCGCCAAAAGTTTATTTTTGCCCACTCATATTGTGTTGCTAGAAGTGTATTTTTAGCCAATGCCAATTTGTCGTTGCCAAAAGTAAACCTTTATCGACAAACAAATCGTCGGCAAATGGCAATATTTACCAACGTAAATGTGTTGCCAAAAGTTTACTTTTGCCCACTCATATTGTGTTGCTAGAAGTGTATTTTTAGCCAATGCCAATTTGTCGTTGCCAAAAGTAAACCTTTATCGACAAACAAATCGTCGGCAAATGGCAATATTTACCAACGTAAATGTGTTGCCAAAAGTTTACTTTTGCCCACTCATATTGTGTTGCTAGAAGTGTATTTTTAGCCAATGCCAATTTGTCGTTGCCAAAAGTAAACCTTTATCGACAAACAAATCGTCGGCAAATGGCAATATTTACCAACGTAAATGTGTTGCCAAAAGTTTACTTTTGCCCACTCATATTGTGTTGCTAGAAGTGTATTTTTAGCCAATGCCAATTTGTCGTTGCCAAAAGTAAACCTTTATCGACAAACAAATCGTCGGCAAATGGCAATATTTACCAACGTAAATGTGTTGCCAAAAGTTTACTTTTGCCCACTCATATTGTGTTGCTAGAAGTGTATTTTTAGCCAATGCCAATTTGTCGTTGCCAAAAGTAAACCTTTATCGACAAACAAATCGTCGGCAAATGGCAATATTTACCAACGTAAATGTGTTGCCAAAAGTTTACTTTTGCCCACTCATATTGTGTTGCTAGAAGTGTATTTTTAGCCAATGCCAATTTGTCGTTGCCAAAAGTAAACCTTTATCGACAAACAAATCGTCGGCAAATGGCAATATTTACCAACGTAAATGTGTTGCCAAAAGTTTACTTTTGCCCACTCATATTGTGTTGCTAAAAGTGTATTTTTTGCCAATGCTAGTTTGTCGTTGCCAAAAGTGAAGCTTCATCGACAAACAAATCGTAGGCAAATGGCAACATTTACCGATGTAAATGTGTCGCCAAAAGTTTACTTTTGCCGACGCATATTTTGTTGCTAAAAGTATATTTTTTGCCCATGCAAATTTGTGTCGCGAAAAGTGTCACACAATCATCATATTTGAATGACTTTTACCAACGCAAGGTAAATTGCCGACGATGGATGAAGGCTTTTATCGACGACTACACAAAGCTATCTTCTTCAATGTTGACAACTTGGTATAAAATTGGTGAAAAAAGCCACGACGCAAGAAGAAACACTTGAAAGAAACAGATGATAAAAAGCTTAATTGTAGAAATTGTGTGATGGAAATTAGATGCATGCTTGTGTTATATTGGAACTGATAAATGTTATATCAAACATTTCTTAGAATTCAAAATTATATTAAATAAATTAGTCAACCAAATTGTCCTTTCATCACATAAACACTTTCAAATTTCAATAGGAATTTCATATGGTCCTACAGTTTTTCCAACTTCCATTTTCTTAATAACTTTTTAAAACACCCCAAAAAAATACAAAAAAAAAAAAAAAAAAAAAAAAAACTCATTGGTATACTTTTTACAAACGTAATATTCCGATGTAACACTCCAAAAAAGAATATGGGATTCTTCAAACCATTTCAAAAGGATGTAAAATTCTTTAAACCATCTCAAAAAGAGTACAAAAATTCTTTAGTAAGCTTTGATCAATGTACAATTTCAAATTATGAGTGTTACGTTTGGAAAAATTACATTAAGAAATTTTTTAGGATTTTTGTATGTTACATTGGAGTGTTACGTTTGGGATTACATTGATTGAAGTGTTATGTTCGAGAAAAATATATTAAGGAGTTTTCTTTGTGTGTTACATTAGAGTATTACGTTTAAAAAAAATGCACTAATAAGTTTTTTTTGAAGTGTTACGTTGTTACGTTTGAGAAAAGTGCACCAAGGAGTTTTTTTATGTGTTACATTGGAGTGTTACATTAGAGTATTACGTTATTGGAATGTCACATTTTCGTTTGTAATGTGAGATTTGTTCTATGAGGGAAAATCCAAATCCTCTATAGTTCGGATTGCCCAAATGTGTAATTTTACATATAGAGAAACCCACTTTTATTTCTTAAAAATTAAATCCAAACATGTAAGAGACTATCCTTTTATGTAATTTTCACTTCAATGGGACCTTTGGGTTCATAAGGAAAAAATGAGGACTAAGCAATTTATAAGATCATATTTTGAAATTTATT